CCATACAAGATAAAGGTTATGTTATTTCAAGCGATCAAATGCATACAGAAAACAAAAAAGTCATAAAAACGATTTCTATATACCATGTACGAGGAGGTTTAGTGCCGTGCTGCGATCTTTCACAGTGGTTGATTTGTTTGACTTCAAAAAGCAAAAGTATTGAGCAGGATCAGTCTCCTGGACATCTTTTATAACAAGCGTGCCGTTCTCGAGCTGACGAATGCGATCATTTGTCTGCTTGGACAATTCAGAAACATCGGCATGCGATCGGTGATCTGCAGGAAAAATGATGGATGAGAAAGAAAAAAATGTGAAATGACAAAGGGATTATGACATTAAAATCAAAGGTATGTGAGAACAGCTGGCAGCCAGAAGCGATGGACAGAAAGCATTCAATGCATAAAAGTGTAGCCAGCCTTGAACAAAAAGGAGCATTCGAGCTAGTCTGATAGTTTAGATGACGCTAAACGGTTATAAGAAGGTGGTGATGGATGTCGAGACAATATTTGAATCCGATTCAGGAGGATGTGGTCGAGTGGTGTTTATGGGAGGAGAGATAACTTAGTTAAAGTCAACCGCAAAAGCTTGAGTAAATAATGAAATTATTTAAGCTTAGTGTACTAGAGTATAGATGCATCGAGCAGCCAATGGCTTAGCTATCCCTGAATACTGATTGTTTCCTAATCCACTGTGATAATATGCAGAAAGGTAAAACGCTTCGTTTATTCCATATCTACCTAACATGGCTTAACGTCGATTTAAAAAAAAATTTAAAGTGACTTAAACATCGAGCATATTTATTTTTTCGACTCATTGCACTTCGTTAATGTCATTCATGACTATCCGATTCGCACTTAAGCCCGGCGAAATCTAGCACATCTGTGGCACTGGTTAGAATAAAATGGATTAAGGGGAGAATTGTAGGATAGAGCAACAAATAAAAATTTTAAGGATTTCGTTGTATTCATTCACAATCGGCTGAAAAAGCAAATTGTCCCTTGCGTTTGAAGGGATGCCATCACCCCTCAGGCTAAAGTGGAATTTGATTGGCAAGAGCTGATTTGGAGTTAAACGAATGAATGCATTTCCGAAATAAGGATTTATCATTGCTGTCTGCTCTTCAAAATTTAGATAATTTTAGAGAAGCTGAAAGTCCAATCGCTCATATTCACTGGAAGTCGAGAACATGTGGGTTGAATATCGTGAAAAAAATTATTGCTGTTCTCGAAAACTACTCATATCAATATATTGCAAAAATCTTCTTCATTTCAGCATAAATTTTGCAAAGAACTCAAACGAAATAAATAATTGCACGAAAAATAAATTAAGTGCAAGTATTTTCCAAAAAGCCCGAAAACATTATGTTACCTCAACTTGGAGCTAAGTAGACAATCAAACAATAAGAGTGGACTGGGTTCTTCGTGGGAAGAGAATGCCATGAAAATTTGACCCGAGATTTTCCAATACAATCATTAATTCATGTAAGTACGACCATGTCCGGCCATGTGACTGAGTGACGAGAAGCTTAATACGAACATCGATCAACGGTCAGACACGTACCCATACCTTTTTGACCTATTTTATGCATATATAAATATACATAAATATAAATATATATAAATATATACATATATAATACTATTCCAAAAGAAAACAGTGAATGTTTTTAATTTGTTGCGTGACAATATGGCAGACTCTGATCCACATTATCAGCACAAGGGTGAAGGGGGTGAGAACGACAGTGTGGA